CGTAATCGAGCTCTTTGAAGATCCAAAAATCCACGGTTTTCAAAAAAATGTGATCAGATTGGCAAAAACTTCAGAATTTGTATTGACCGCCATTCAAATGACAGCGTTGTTTTCCCCCAAAAGTGGGCGGGCCGTAATTTTTGCCCGGAAGTGACGTAGGTGTTACTCTCATCTATTATCCTCTGGCGGAGACCCCCCTGTTGCAATTTTTTTTTAAATGATGAGTACATTATGATGGAAAATATGAAAAATTAATCATACAGCTTAATACATTTTCTTAATATATATATTTCTATTAATAATTAATAATCAGTTATTCTTCTAAAAAAAAAATGTATTTATCTTTTGTTTGTCATTCATTACATTCATTGTGTCTTCTGTTATAAACATTCTTAACACAATATTAAACAGTAATATCAACAGCAAACATATTTTTAAAGCATTTTTAAAGTGATTTCTGTCTTTATAATATTATATAATTTTGAACAGTAATATGAACAATTAACATGTATTGGTGCCCCCTGGCGGCCCCCCGGGGGGTCGGGGCCCCCACTTTGAAAAACACTGGTTTAGGAGACACCATTTATAAGCCCTCTCCTCCTCTCTATAACCTGGGGAAACAGTTGTTGGATACTTTCTCTTGCACTTCAATGCATAACCATTGAAATATGTTTTGTTTTAGGATGAGGGATCATCAAGCCATTGACAGCTGGCTCCTGAAAGAGTTGAAGGCATGTTGTGCAAAAGAGTACAACTTCCTTCCCAGAGAGGCTGGACTGAAGCTGATGGAGTCGACTTCCACAGAGGTACCAACTGAACTACTTCTGCATTTTGGGCTGTCTGCGCAGATTTTTTAAGATTTAAAAAAAAATATGATATATTCCCAACAATGACTAATATATTGTGCTTTATTTTTAGAATCACAGTGGAGTGTCTGAAAAATGCAGAAACACCAGAGTGGAAGAACTGTGGGGCCTGACCAGTTTCTTTGGATACAGCGCTCAAACGTTTGTGCAAGCTGTCAATTTGCTTGATAGATTCCTCACCACTATGAAGGTAGGAATAAATTGTTGTTATTTTATTTCATGTGAAGCGTCTTTGAGCGTTAGGTAAAATACTAATCCCATGTATTATTATTTATTATTATTATGTTTGCACCACCAGATGCCAAAGCAAATTCCTTGTCTGTGTAAACATACCTGGCAATAAACTTGATTCTGATTAAATAATTTAACTATAATGTGTTAAAACAAGTTAAAACTTTGCATGTTTTCATCTCACGATCACAAAAAAGAAGAAAACACAACAACAATGACCTTGAATCATGGGATGTTGACTCACACTTATCACTGTTGTGTTATGGTGTCAGGTGCAGCCCAAACACTTGCCCTGCATTGGAGTCTGCTGCCTTCACATTGCAGCAAAAATGGTCGAGGAAGAAAGCAATGTCTCACCCACCCATGAACTCATTCGCATCAGCCAAAGCAAGTTCACGGTGTCTGACCTGTGTCGTATGGAGAAGATCATCTCAGAGAAGCTGAGCGTGGAGCCCGAGGCAGTGACAGCTATAACCTTTCTGCACCTCTACTACCCAGCCTTTACATCCCTCTCAGCTGGAAGGTAAGCTTTTCATTTTTGTTTGCTTACTCTTGTTATTATTGCTGATACATTGCTCCAGTTTGCATTGAGTTGGTCAAACACATGCTGCCTTATGAGCTTTTTACTGGCGGATCACATTAGGATTCCCTCTATATTTTAAGGGAGGAGATCCCAAGCATTGGGAGACTGGAAGCCCAGCTAAAAGCCTGCTTATGCCGGCTTGTTTTCTCTAAAGCAAAAGTAAGGATTGATATCCGGAGAACATTTCATAGCATAGCAGACCTCACACTGTGTCATGTGACTTATGAATTTACTGATTTCCTTCTTCACAGCCATCAGTGCTGGCACTGTCCCTCATTGCTCAAGAGTTCGAAGGCCTCCAGTCCATCACCTTGTTGAAGATTGTACAGCAATTCCAAAGACACCTAAAGGTATTTAGGATAGGGCTGCCACAACTCATTATTTCACTAATCACTGATGTTTACGCTGTAAAAATATCGACATAGTGTAAAATGGCCATCACATCTCCTTATAGACCTTGGTGTCGTAAAATGTCTGAGAAATAATCTGAAACCACTTGAAAAAATGACTTAAGCAATTTGTTATCCAGCTTTTAGGCCACAAATATTCTATAGATTAATTATAGACTAAATCAAATCGCACTTTTTAAAGTTACACTTTCATTAGGCTTCATAGTGTCTGATGTGAAATCTATATTTTTGATAAATAATCCAACTTCTTTCCTCTATGTTTTTCTGGACTTTTTTGTCCACTGCTGTCAGACTCTTGGATTCAATTTGTTTTCACTATCACATTATGTTGAAAGACATATTTCACAGCATTTAGCTCTCTTATATGGCTCATATTTTACTGTTTTTTTCCTTTACTCCATTACTTCTTACAACAATCTTACCATACCACGTCAACATGTATGTGGGAAAACTGTTGTTGATGACTTTTAAGACTGTTTGCCACCTCTCAGATGTTTCCTTTTTTTTTTTTCATAGATCAGTGAAGGCGAGCTTCTCCACTGGAAGGAACTTGTGGCAAAATGCATGACTGAATACCGCTCAAGTGAATGTAACAAACCAGACAACAAAAAGCTTGTTTGGATCGTTTCGAGGAGGACGGCTCAGAATCTTCAAGCCAATCACTTCTCCGTGCCCGGCCTGCCAACGATTCCTGAGGGGAGCTGGGACGAGAGTGAAAGGTTAATATTCCAGTTTTCTTTTTCCCGAATGCCAACACACACATTTTTAAGTTTCATGGAGGCCTCCAATTCATGACTTGGGCAAATCACAGCTGCTAACATTAAATACATGTTTGCTGGAAAAGACAGTCTTACCAATCCAAGCCTTAATTTAATACACACTCTACATTTGAATATTTAGCCCTGGCTCAATAGCATTTTTAGACCTTTCATGTAAATAGCCACATGTTTTATACTTCACACTTGAAGTTTGCAACACATGCTTTCTGTTTTTGAAAATGTGTCTCCTAGCCAAAGCCGAAAAAACTCCATAGTTATTTTTCTTTAAGGCAGAGCACATATAGCTTTGGAACTGGAGAGTCGCTGGTTCAAGTCCCAGAATGGACCAAATACGGAGTGTGGACTGATACTTTGAGAGGTCCCAGTTCCCCTCCTTGTTTCTGCCAAACTGCCCTTGAGCAAGGCCCCACACTGCTCCATGGCGAACTGCATACAGTTAAATGCAGAGTCTAAATTTCACTGTGTTTTGAGGATGAAAAAGTAGATTTGAATTGAATCCTTCATTTCCATTACACAACATGTTCTGTCTGTTCACTCATTGATTAATCAGCACTCAGTATTAACGGCATCTTTTACTTCCCTAGCGAGGACTCTTGTGAGGACATGAGCTGTGGAGAAGACAGCCCATGCGGCTCGCCAGGAAGTGACGGCGAAGGAGCCTTCTTCTCCTCTGCCTTTCTCAACCGCCAAAAGTGACGAGTCCTCATTGTGAAGTAGTCAGAAGTGTGTTTGTCCCCTGAACTGTATCTGATTTAAGGTGGTCCTCATGTTTCTGAGCAAACCTGTGTTTCACTCGTCATACCACCAAAGGTACGACAAGTGACATGTTTCAATCAAGTGCCTGTGTTGATTCAGTTAACTGTCGTTTTTTTTTATGTTATAAAAACATATCGTATTAATGCAAAATGGAAAATTGCAATATCTTGGCAGCTTGATGGTAATATGAATGTCTTTTTCCGAGATGTTCTCTTTTGTGTTTGTTTGTGTCCAAGCTGGGCATACTCCAGGAAAAGCAGTGAAGCACAACGGAGAAATAGTGTATATCAGTCATGAGGTACACTCACTGTTGAATACCAGCTAACACACTAACACATTCTCAAAAAAAAATCGAACCCATTTTTATAATCATTACTTTAAATATACACATTATTCTGCAAGTGTATGTTATGTACACAATCCTAATGTGGCAAATAGACCTTTGTAGTGTGAAAATACCAGACTGTATATGCATGGAATCATAGAATATGTGATGATGAATGGATGTTTACCAAAATAAGCTTACTGTAAAAAAAAAGTTTAAAAAAATGTATATATCATGTAAAAAAAGAAGGAACAAATATGTTTTGTGAATGCTACATTATGAATGTTGTATTTGATTACGTGTGAGTGTGTTGGAAGGTTCAGAAACAATACTTCCAAATAAAAAAAGCTTTGTATACATGTTTTGCTTCAATTCACTTGATTGTATTTTGAATTGTCAACTGGTGGTGAACTGGAGCATTGCTCACACTAATATACTGAAGGTGTCATAGGCAGCTTTATCACAACAGAAATGTTTCCTGAATACAATTACAAACCAACATCTGGTACAAAACACATACTCTAGTGACAGGAATGTATTTGAGATCCTATGGTAATTCATGCATGAAACCAGAAGTTTGGCATGTGTTGCAAAAATATGTCCTCTCTTACTAAGTACAATGTTCGCCTCTGAATGGAAAGTAGGATTATAGAATATAAATCAAGTAAAATACCCCAAGTATATTTGGTTGTTTGCACAAATACACATTAATATATAAAAGTATGAACATTGTCTTAACAAAGAATAAAAGATTAAAAAGGAAGGCTGCTCATGTGCATTAAAATAGGTTTTGATATCCTTAATAATGAAGGTCCTTTTTAGATTGTTTTAATATCAATAATGGAGATGGAAGTAGGTTGCTCCTTTGTTATTTCACTAAATATATTAAATACATTGTTTGAGTAATGTTCAGATTAAAGATCACAGGTCACACCAGAGGATTTGACAGTATGATCTTTCCTCCCTCATCTCCCTTTTTCTCTCCCATTAAATGAATTATCATTTCAATATTTGTGTGAGAGAGAGGGGGTGGTGGTGATGATGATGATGATGCTGCTGGTGGCAGTGGACGGGGCTTGTCTCTTTTAGCTGGCTGGATGTGTTGACAACTTGAAGTGCATTTCTGCTCCATCTCCATGATTAAACCGGCAGCTCGGAGGGGAGTCCCAGCGGAGGGTGAAGCACCAGCAGCAGCAGCAGCAGCAGCAGAAGAAGGAGCAGTCAGGGGGAATGAGAGCTGATCGAGTCGAGGCATCTTCACTATCATGCACCCGACTCCAACCACCAGCCGTCCATTTTACACGATTATATGAGCCCAGGAGCGCCAGTTTGTCTGTGTCCTGCAGACAGCCAGTGTGCAGAATACCCTAAAATGACAAGATAGGCCAACGCCTCGGTGCAGCTACATACAGGGAATGAAAACGCTCCCAAGATGGTCCGCATCGCAAAGGCCCTGGGTTTGGTTATTCTGTGCGTCGCCGTGCTCATACTGTCGCTCATCAGCTATGTGTCTCTCCGAAAAGACAGCCTCTTTGCCTCCTCTAATTTCATTGGAGGCCCGAGGATTATGTTCCACGCAGGATTTAGGTGAGTAGTTTTTGTTGATGTGATGCAGATAATTATTGTTGGGGTAAAATATAAACACTGAGGCCTTGTATTGACGATTCAACTTGAATGTGATGCACTTACAAGCGCACCCCACCACTTTCCCTTCAATTTGGTTAAAAAATACCTTCTGTCAATCAGACAGTGAGCTGTCCGAGATGCTGTTGTTTCCCTGGGCGATGCATGTCGTGATATACAGTGAAGTAAAGTACTTGCACTGTAAACGTTTGCATCATCAGCAGCTCCACATCCTGAGCTCAAAAGTACTTTTACTCAATTACTGTGCTCGGGGGTTATTTTTGAGTCACGTGCACTTCATTTGTATGTTTAGTATAATACTGTTTCTTTTTACCCTGCTACATTTATTGGACAGTTATAGTTCTGATTTGTTAGGTTGAAGACCATTACATAACCATAACAGATTACAGTGGTGGAAAGTAACATGTATCATTTTGAGGTACTAGTACTTGAGTATTTCCATTCCATGTTTCCATTTATTTCACTTTTTACATAAATAAAACATATGGTATATAATTTGATACAATACAGTAGTAAATTATCTTTACTATGGTATTTAAAACATGTAAAATGGGCTCGACTGACAAGTTACAACATTAAATTACTCTTGAATGGATTCGTTAGTTAAGTGGTGAAAGTTGGCTTTACCTCATCCAGCTAAAGCCCTTTCTAACTAAATGTGTAATACAAATGTTGGTATTATATTGTCCATGACTTTAAGACAGAGTTTTCAATTAATCTAATGTGCCAATTGTAAATGTTAGTATATTTTCAATAAATGGAGTTTGGTGCAGATCCAAAGCAGACCTTTTCTAGAACAGTCCTACCAGATAAAGGAATATTTTACAACCAGGCTACCTACAGTTATTGACGATAAAGATCAGATTAATAATTAACTGATGCATTTATCTTTTCAGATATATAAAATGTGTTCAGGTTTTCTGTTGCATTTGAAAGGATAAAGAAACATTTAATTTAAACATTTTCCAAGAACATGGAGACAACAAAGCACAACCATATCCGACATTAATGCTTGTTTGTGGCTTTAGGAAAAACTCCTTATTTTCCCAGAATGACCACACCAGATCTGCGTGGATTTATTGTTCAAATACCTCAATGATAAGACAATATCAAACATAAACAAATGCGAGAGCAGTTCCCACATAGCACACAACACTGTCTCAGAATCATATGTTTTAAATCATTGTTGTTCACAGGTCTCAGTTTGCCTTGAATTTCCTGGACCCCTCTTTCATCCCCTTAACTAACGCTCTGAACGAAGAGCTCCAGGGAAAATCGTCCAAATGGAAGTTCAACAAGACGGCTTTTTATCAGCAGAGGTGAGATATTGAAATTCTAGCTATTTACAACCCTACTTCTACTTATACTGTAGGCCTAGTTTATGTCACCCTGCAGGATACGTTTGTAAGGTTTCTCTGTAAAAGCTATTTTTTGATACTTCCCACTTTGATACTGTAACACTGCAGAGAGTGGGATCAGAGTACTTCTTCTGCCACTGCCTGTCACATTTATTTTCTTTCTTCAGGAAAGATATCTTCAGCTACATTGACATTCCCACCAACTTCTCCCTCACAAAGAACAGTGTGCGTGTCGGCCAGTTGATGCACTTTGACTACTCCAGCCACAAGTACGTCTTCTCCATCAGCAACAACTTGAAGTCCCTGCTCCCAGACACCTCTCCAATCCGCAACAAGCATTACAGCATGTGCGCCGTGGTGGGCAACAGCGGTATCCTAACAGGAAGCCACTGTGGCCCCGAGATCGACCAGGCCGACTTTGTCTTCCGCTGCAACTTCGCCCCCACAGAGATCTACTCCAAGGACGTGGGCAAAAAGACCAACCTGACCACCTTCAACCCCAGCATCCTGGAGAGGTACTACAATAACCTGCTGACCATTCAGGACAGGAATAATTTCTTCCTCAACCTGAAGAAGCTGGAGGGAGCCATCCTGTGGATCCCTGCCTTCTTCCTTCACACCTCAGCCACAGTTACCAGGACCCTGGTGGACTTCTTTGTGGAGCATAAGGGACAACTGAAAGTGGAACTGGCCTGGCCTGGAAACATCATGCATGATGTCAACAAGTAAGAGTGTAGATCTTCTTGATAGTTCATTTACTGTCAACCAACGGGACATTGCAGTGATTGTGTTTTTATACAATTTACCATACGTGAATTGGGATTATTGTGTGTCATAATGATGAAAGATGAATCCTTTTTATTATTCTTATTCTTTAACATGTCATTTCTGATTGTGGATGACTTACTTGTCTTTTCTTCTTACAGATACTGGAAGACTAAAAACCTCTCCCCCAAACGTCTCAGCACTGGAATCCTAATGTACACGCTGGCCTCCGCCATGTGCGACGAGATCCATCTCTACGGCTTCTGGCCTTTTGGATGGGACCCCAACACAGGCAACGATCTGCCGTACCACTACTACGACAAGAAAGGGACCAAATTCACCACCAAGTGGCAGGAGACCCACCAGCTGCCCACCGAGTTCAAGCTGCTCTACAAGCTGCACAGGGAGGGTGTGATTAAACTCAGCGTGACGCACTGCTCGTAGATTTGCCATGGATGAGTCCAGAGACCAGATACAGCCGCTCAGCTCACTTCTGTTGTGAACCACAATGCATGATAAGTGTTAATGCAAATTTCTACACCCTCAATCGACAAACACACATTCACATCATGCTGTAACTTCACATGACGATGTCACAGACTTATCACAGCGTTGTAACTCATTTATTGGTATATTGTTGTCTTCAGCACTGCACAGTTAGGGCTTTTTACGTCGCTCAGTTGCTTACATTACTCTCCTTTGCATGGCTGCTGGCCGTGGTGACACAGCTTGAACTATTTGAAATGAGGTTTGCAGGGGGATGCAACAAAAAGTTAAATCATACAGTTCAGTTTAACACAGTATTGATTTATTAATCGCCTTTTACAGCAGTATACTGATTCTTTACACTGAAATCACTGCCTAATCTCAGGGAAAGAGTTAGATCAGTGTATTTTTGTAATCAGATTAAATGCCTCAAGAGAGGTGCAGTTTCTGTTTGCAGGCCTTTTTCTCCCCATGAGGTGTCAGACAATCTGCACTGCTCTAGAAGATGGTATTTGTTTACAAGACTACACCCCATATAAATATACACACACACACACACACACACACACACACACACACACACACACACACACACACACACACACACACACACACACACACACACACACACACACACACACACACACACACACACACAAATGTTGTTGTTCAATTTTTCTTTTGATTCTACAATTTTTTTTAAAGTTATTTGACATTCCAACAATAAGCCATACATTCATGGACAGTGCGTTGTCATTTGAATACAGCATTTTAGAAAGTGGTATTGACCTACATTAGGTTCTGCGACATTTAAAAACATCTACCATTAGCAAGTCCACAGCCATACTAGCGGCTACATTTGAGTCATTGAACTTCCAAAAAAATAAATACCCAAAATGCTGTTTACCAACACAGCGTTTTCATACATTTATTTGAGTTTGGCACCAATTGAGCAAGGACCATTCTAGAGGTTATTTTATGATATTTAAAATATATCTTAAAGGCAGTACGTTGGGTTAAAGATCACAGGGTATTTATTTTTCTGTCAATTACAATTTTAGTTCTATGAAGCGAATGTGTCAATGCATGAGAGTCACAAAGTGGGGCTAAGGTTGCTCCAGCTCTACGTAAATTCATTTCTCAGTTTGTCCTAATTAACTAATAGCTAGTTTAAAAACTCAGGAAGAAGGCCAAAAAAAGTAGCCCCCCATAAAACTAATTTTGTTTTGCTTTTTGCACGTTTTTTTGTACAATTTAAACAAACGAGGTCTATGTATCCTTTAAAACCCAATATCTTTGCTAATAAATACTTTTAAATGTGTTAGGGGGTCAACAAACTGACAATCCTGTGTAAACGTTGGTATGACTATTGTTATATGTATTACCTACATAGATGACAACATCATGCAGAAATAATTATGTTTTTAAGTAAGGCTAGTAATATTAATGCAGTTTAGCACTGCAGATTGTCAAATGTCCGATCATGCTAATCTAGCATGTTTTTCGGTCCTTAAGTCTGACTTTCCTGGCATATCATTTTGTAATTTGAGGTATTTGATAAAGTTTACATTTTAACACAGTTTAGATGTGTCAAATTCAATACTATCTTTTTTACTGCTTAATTCAAACTGATGTTTGTTAGCAAGCTAACGTTAGCTTTGTTAGTTGGTTCAGTTGAAGTTAGCCTGCACCTGCAGTTAAGTCAGCGTATATAGAAGTAGTATCAAGACAACACAAACATACTTTTTTGAAGCTCATGTGTTTGAAATGATCAAAAAGGCTAAGTTTGAATTTACGAACAGCTGCAACCAGCTCCAGAAAACAAAGCTGTTGAATAATTGAAAAATGGAGACACTATTTTACAATTCTTACCAATAACAAGGCAGAACATTTAAAGTGAATCCAGAGGGTACCAGACCATCTTGTGACCTAAATTGCAGTGCTAGCGTGGCAATTATAAATAGAAAAATAAATCATTTTGGACAGTTTTTTTTCTCCAAATATATCTATCAAGAGGAAAATACACTATTTGTTACATATCTTTAGTTGGAGGGGGGTTAATCATCCATCATGTACCATATCATTCCAATATTTGTGACATAAAACAAGGAATTTAGTGAATGTTATATGACTTAAGTGCATCTCGTATAAAGAGCATGATCCATTTAAATGACATTGCATGTGAGGCACTAACAAATCTTTTAGGCTAGTTTTATACAACCTTTTTGAAGATTGTTTTGAGGGTAAAAATTTAGTTATTTGCTATTGTTTGTACTACTGACGGTGTATTCCTCAAGGATAACACCAGTGTCTTTGTATAAGATACTTCCGAAGGCTAAAGAAAGAACCCTAATATATTTTACATGGGACCAAAACCTATAGATAAACTTAAAAATGAACAAGCTTTATTTTTTGTAACTCTAGATACTCTTGGGTTCTCAAAAACAGTGTTCCCTGTCATGCTTCACTGATGCAGACATGGGGGGTGGGGGTTCAAAGCTGGCCACATGACTCGTCTCATGAGTCTACAATGTGGTCCTGGTTGCAATACCCTGGCTGAGACTGAGGTTTGAAACATCGAGCTACGCAGTCATTCATACTTCCAGATGTGTGCTTTTGTGCTCATTTAGATAGTATGTGAGGCATTTGATTGGCATGCTGTCATACTAGAGTTCCTTTTGCTGTCTCATTTTGGCAACATTTCAGATGACGTTTGTGTCTCGTCTCCGAATAACAGTGCAGTAACAAACATGAAACCACATATCGGATGATAATGTTTGAACTTTAGCTGAATTTTATTGATGTCTTTTATGTCTACATTAAAGGATATTTTCTGTAGACCCTTCATAAGAAATGTGTACACCAAAGACGAAGTGTTCAAAAAGGAAATGTTTGGCTGGATAAGGATTGGTTTGGGATTAAGGAAGCCAAATGACAATTAACAACAAGTATTATTGTAACAGAAATAGAGTTTCCTTTTTATGGTGTTGAATTTGATGTTGAATATCATTCTTTGTGGCACAACAATAATGTCAAACTTTTTGTTTCTTGGCTTCAGCCAAATTAATGTGGTGGAATTTATTTGTGACTCCATGAATGTCCTAGACAGATTTGTTTGAAAAATCCACTGACATGAATGCGGGACATTTTTAAGTTTCTCTCTTTATTTAATTAAAATCAATGTGTAGAATGTGTGTAAACAATAACAATGCTAACAAAGTCTGCGAGGATTGTATTTCCAGTCAGATTAGCAGTTTATCTTTGTGTGCATTACATTTAAACGACAAGACAGTGACATGTACATAAACATAAAATGTCTTTATTCCAAACGCAGCACTATACAGGTTTTCGTTCCAACAACCCTTTAACATTCTTGTACTTGTGTTTGATCTGCATGGCAAATATTATCCATAATGCATAAAAAAGCTTGGCTGCTTATGTACATGTCGTATACAATTCATAAATCATATAAATGACTTATCTATCTTGGTTGTTCTAACAAAATCATCCATATAAGAAATGTAACCATGTCTTAAATGTTTTTGGATTATACTCCATGATAAATATACGTTATGTGCCTGCATATTCTTCCATCAATGTGTCAAATACAAACTTTATTTTTTCTCTGATATGACCCATTTTAATACAATAATTGACTGTTTTTCACATCCAAAACATTCAAGTTTTATAACAATACCTGTACATTATTACTATATACAGTTTCTAGGGGCTTGTACTCCACTTTCTCACAGACTGTGAATAAACAACATCACACAGCAATTTTTAAGAGGGGAATTCGCATTGTCACAACAATATTGGGCCCGAAAAAAAATGTAATTTAATTTTTAAGATCTTAAAAGATCCCGGCCTCACCTATTAGGCACCCAAGTTAGGCTTTATAAAACAGCAGCATTTTGAAAATATTGTAATTTGGGGCAAACGTGAGAAGAGTGTCTACTGGTGGTAACATCAGCAGGCACACGTCCTCCTCACAGGAGCCTCCTCCACCTCATGGCTGTTGATGGGGCTGCCGTTGGGTTCAGAGCTGGGGCCTCCGGGAATGCTCTGCTCCATCCTCTTCATCACCAGATCCAGCAGCGTGGTCACTGCCTGGTCAACATCATCACCAGTCATTGCACTCGTCTCAAAATAGGGGATGCTGAGGAGAACGGAGAGAGAGATTAATGTGCCAGTTTTACCCAGAGAGGATTTTAGTGTGTTGCTGCTGCTGACTGACTTGAGTAGTTCAAGTTGAGTAGTTCAAACTAAAAAGTATTCTCAATGTACTTAATGGGGCAAATAAGTAATTGGCCTGGTGCTAGGGTAGGGTATCGAGAACCGGTACTAAGTCAATACCGGTACCTGATTGGACGGTATCGGTATACCATTAAGCCGCTGGACAAACGGTGCTGCTATCGGTATGTGTTCAGTATGTGTTCTATGTGTTACGTCTACTTCCTTAGTTTAACTTTAAACCATTCTGGTTGGTTGGGAACCCTCATCCCGTGTGATGTATCCGGTTTGAGACCCCTCTGATTGGCCACTGTAAATGCCACCCGTCATCTCTCTCAACAGCGCTCTTATGTTGAGAGACTCCCGCAGGCATGGCGGACAGAGCGAAGCGATCGAAGGTCTGGGTGCACTTTAAAAAAATGTAGTGGCGATAGTAGTGCAAGGTGCAATCTATATACTCAATTATTTGCTTGTAAAGGTGGTAACACAAGCAACTTAATGAAGCATTTGCAAACGAGACAATCATTTAATCTAAAACGGTGCAGCGTATTTGACAGCCTAAACAATGTGGCTGCTAGCTATAGCGGGCTTCAGCCGCGCCGTGTGTAAATATGACCTGAGCGAAGGCTGGCAGGCAGGTTAGCTGCTGCGCACGGGTAATATGTTTTATTTACCTGAGTGAAGTCTTGCAGGCACATCGCCTTGTCTTTTTTTAGTTTATTAACACTGACAGTGTATTAATGTGAGCTCCTACACCTATAATAATTTGGCCTTTCATTGAATGCTTTATAAACCAGTTAAACTTACATTTGTCATTGTGAATTGGAAAACTGCATTTAAATGTTGTTAAAGGTCAACGTTTCAATGTATGGTTCAGCAATTGTTGGTCGTTTACTAGGAATTGACATATTTTAAGCTCAAATACTTTGTTCTATGTTTAAACCTTCAGACACATTTTGACGTGTTTCAGTTCAGCACATCATTTATTTTGTGATGATTTAAAAGTACAATCCAGAATAATATACGTATTCGCCTTTATCTTTTTGCCATCTTAGCCTTTTTACCAATTTCTTCATATCACAGTTTTGCATGATGTCACTGTAGGACAATGTTTTAAGGATCTCTTGTCGAGCTAGGTTGTCAGTTTGAAATGTCTGGATGAAGATGTAACTGATTTATAAATGTTAAAAAATGCCTCTTTTCATCCTCTGTCTGAGAGAAAACCCCAAAAAGCATGATAGGGCGAGCCAGGCCCCTTTAAGTTATTTTATTTATTTGTGTCTGCTTCTGAGAAGCTAATGTATAAGTTATACAGTTATTTCTGCAAGAAAATTACAATAAAATGACTGTTTAATTTTCACATCTTGTATTCATGTCTATAATTTTGTGCACCAAATTATCGAAAAATACCGATACCATACCGATAAGCAGTACCGGTATCGGTATCGATAAAATCCTAACGATACCCATCCCTACCGGGAATAAAGAAAATAGTATCCCAAACTTCTGAAAAGGCCTTTAATTTATACAACTTGATGGATTTCTTTTAAAAGCACCTCAACTTGTTAAAATATCTTTCAATGTAGATTTTACATTACTATACATTTTGTATCACTACTTTTCTTGTTTTTCTAAGTATCCATTTTCTTTGTACGTATGATTATTGACATTTAATAAATAGGGAGGTATCTTCTTAAGCCATTTTTGGCTTTTAACCTCTCATACAATGTTCTAAGATTGAGTTGTCCTACTATCTACCGTTTTCTATAAACTCATGATCCTCAAACTTGTATCTTATGACCCATTGCTGGGGCCCTGACCCAAACACTGGGAAACTACTGTGCTCAATTAAATTACAAAACCCTAGGAGGAAGATCCATGTTAAAAAGAGCTCACTGCCATCATCCTGTGGTGTACTGGTGAGAGAAGTAACATGAGGGGGCTGCAGCACCCCCATCTGCGAGGCTCCACTAGCTAAATGTTCTGTAACTAAAACACTATAGTCATAGGCGGATTTTGCGGTGGGGGCAGGGGGGGAAGTGGCTGAAATATGTTACAGCATTACTACGTCTAAAACTGTTCCAATACAAATATTTCGTATATCAATATTTTAATAAGGTAGGACACTGGTTAATAATATTGTAGCGTGTTCAAGTAACCAAGGGATATAGTAGTTATCAAATAAGTATAAGATGGGCGGCTGTGGCTCAGTGGCTAGAGTGCTGGACTTCGAATTAGGGGGTAGCTAGTTTGAGTCCCACTGCAGTCAGCATGTCGTTGTGTCCCTGGGCAAGACACTTCACCCCAAATTGCTCCTGTGGGGATTGTCCACAGTACTGAATGTATGTAAGTCGCTTTGGATAAAAGCATCTAACAAATAACATGTAATGTAATGTGCACAGTTATGATACGTTTTACAGTTATGTAATGCACTGTTGTAGGGGGGAGAGACCCAACATGAGTGTGTGTGTACGGTGGGCATGAGTTGTGTTTGTATGTGGAAAAGTCATACTCAGTGCGGTGAGCGCAGGCTTTATTGCTACTGTATCCGTAGCACCCCACGCAATAGTTGGAACTGTGTACTGACGTCAGTAAAAAAGGTTTGCCCCCCCAAGCGCAAATGTCAAACTCCACCTATGACTATAGTGCTGTTTGCAAAGCCTCACCCGTATCTGTCTGCCAGGTCTCTGGCCTGTCTTCCGTGAACGTCCCTCACATCCTGGAGGTCTGCCTTAGTGCCCACCAACACGATGTCTGGACTATCACAGTACGCGTTGGCCTGTAGCTGACCTGAACCAACACAGAGGAAGTCCTTTTACACCCATGTAATGCAAATAGACACACATGAGCTTCAAACTCTCTTAGTTGACTTTCTCAACTCTCTAAACTCTGTGGCAACAACAGAGAGAACATTGATCCAAAAGAGTATTTATCTGAAGCAAAGCAGTGATGCTGAGATGACACATACTCATCCAGTTCCTGACGTTTAGGAAACTTTGCTGACTGGTCAAGTCGAACATCAGCAGGAAGCCCATGGCGTCCCTGAAGAAAGCTGTGGTGAGGCTGCGGAACCTGGAAAAAGATTAGTTTCACAGTATGAAGCTACCATGTGGAGATTTGATCCACCGTTAGGTCAAGATAGAAATACCTCACCATCTGCTGGAGGGTTTGTCATGACATTTTTCTACAGACATTTATGGAGGGTGAATCCTACTGATTTTGGTGGTACCCTGGCTTCTCTAGCGCCACCAGCAGGTTGACACGTTCAGTTTATTCCGAAATTGAATCCACATCTATCATATAGCAAATTAGATACATCCTACCAACTTTGGCGACCCCACAACTTTTCCTTTGAAGTTTGGCAGCCCAATGGGCTTGAGATTTCTAGTTTTTAAGTCAAATGTCTTAACAGCTTTTTTACCTCAGGCTAGTGATTCAGTCTCAATGTATAATAAAGCCAAGCAGTCCTTTCTATAAGACTCTGCTATATCTATAACATATGTTGTTTGTATTCCTAGAAGCACTGCTGTGTGTGTCTCCCTCTCTCTTTCTGTTAACTCAGGCTTATTGAAACTTGACCATCAGCAGCCCTGGCAAACTCTCTGTCTTCTTGGTGTTGGTGCCTTTTTACAATTAATTAAACATTTTTTTACGATGTTGTTTTATTATGTATTGCCTATCTGTCTGTTCCAGTAAACGTTTTTGGGGGGTTTCTCTTTATTCTTTCTTTCTTTCAGTCTTTATTTCGAACAGATTAAAAAATAACAAATAACAAATGTGAAAAACAGAATACCGTATTGTTATAATACAGTATTTATCCACATTCATGGTAATATTTGTATATTCAACAAAAAAACAAAAAATGTCTTCATATTAATAATAAATAATGTGTCCGAAAGGGAGTAGGAGGAAGCAAATGCTTATTAATTCCCACCACTTACTTGATCAATGATTGTCCTTTAAATCATTATGCAAGTTATTCCTACATACATTTATATTTATACATACATATACAATCATTTCTCATCTTCAATCACCTTCTTCATTCTCATAGTTTTCCCAAAAAGTGTTTCTGTACATCCTTTTAAACTGAATTATGCTTGTGCTTTGTTTGAACTCCTGCTCCAAACCATTCAAAGCAAGGGTTGAAAAGGAAGAGGCTGTTGTATCATATCGTATCGTTGTATTGTATCGTGGCTGTATAACATTTGGCTATTTTATTTAATATGAAAACAAAATAATTTGAGGGTCAATTAGGCTCTAATCTAAAGGCAGACACATTTTCAGCATGCAAACATGTTCTAGAAACCCAAAATGTAAGTGTCACCATGCAAATGTCCATCACGTCCAATACTTTGTTATCCAATACCAGCTAAACTAATGACATGCCCCTCAGCCGCAACTGCAGTTTGTGTTAAGTTGGATAATGCTTGAATGCTAATATGCTAAACTGAACTTTAGTGTGTAGTCCACACTCACAGAGCTGATAGCATAGCATTAGACTGTTTTTGTGATTATAGCATTTTTCAAATAATTCTGAAGGTACTTGCTTTCATTAGATTTAAATGAACACGTCCTAATGTAAAATATATAGTAAACATCAAGGTTAGGTTTACCTCTCTTGTCCCGCCGTGTCCCAAAGCTGAATGTGGACATTGAAGTTCTTCTCAGATGCCCCATCAGCACCTTTCCCAGTGTACATCTGAACCAAAGCAGGGAGAAAATCTTTTGACTCAGTTACATATTATTTGATATGAAGAAACATGCTTGTATGCAATGCTTGTATGCATCACTTATAGGCATCACTCACCACTCTCTTTTCCCTGAAGTCAATGCCCACTGTGGTGGTGAACTTGCGGTTGAACTTCTGGTCGGTGTACCTGTAGAGGAAGGTGGTCTTCCCCACCCCTGAGTCCCCGAGTGCCAGCAGCTTGATCAGATAGTCATAGTCCCAGTCAGCCATTGTGCAGCTGAGTGCCTAACCTGCCACAGAAGTGAACTCACAGTACACTGCTATAATGGTTTGATGGATCATGTAACATAAGAGGTGAGAGAAAGCTGGCATAAGTCAACATTTCCAGGTTGAGTAAACTAGAACAGGAAGGTGAAATAGTTCCACTTAAACTACATTTTTCAGTCCGAGGGTTCAGGACATCACACAGGATTAAAGCAAGACGTCATACCTCCACACAATGCATTAGGCTCTGATCAGAGAGGGGTGAGCACATGACCAGGGCTGGCTTCCACATGAGCAGTCAAATGTTTTGCCAGTTTTCTCAGACTTTGCTTGGAAAAAAACAGGGGCCTGTTTAGCAGACAGAACTCCTATGATTGACTTTAAGAGCCACAGTCAGACTGCTAAACGGTGCGTGACACCACTGAAGTCACCGCAATGCTTTGATTACACTTTCAGCTCAGAGGCAGAGAAAAATAGCATTTATTTCCTTCAGTTTATTCAACATTTCAATTTGCGAAGGAGCATTCAGAAAATATATAGGGTTAACTCAGATTTCAACACCACACTATGACATTTGGAGTTATTTCCCATGTACATGGTATTGTATCCTTTGAATCAGATGAGTGAGGAGAGGCTGAGTCATCAACACCATACTGTAAACTGCAGAAACAACAGTCCCTGTCTTTATCTGACAGAACCTTATCAAAACGATTTTCCTCAAATACCCATTGAGACAAATAAAGCTACCTTAAAATGACAAAAAAGTAATATACCTTACCAGTCTATCTGTAGGTAGTGCCAATGCCCATTCAGATATCACTCAACTCGTCCTGACAGAATAACGTATCCACTATCATGATGCTATGGCACATCCTGAACCTTTCCCCCTTCTTACATGTGATCCAGGGAGGAGTTTCAGATCAGCAGGAACTCAGCGAGGCTGCACTCACAGACCTTGTGTTTTCTGGTATTTCTCATGAAAGGGGGAAAAAAGGGCTCTTTGAAAACTTGATGTGGACGATATAAGCCTCTGTGGATTTCAGCGGAAATCGTCCAACCAAGGAACGAGGGCCCCCACTTCCAGAGGCTAAGCCATCCCTAAGTAATCCTGCTTCTTTAAACAATGGGGAAATACAAAAACAAGACTTCATTTCGGTGCCCTTATAATTTTGAAAATGACTTTTATCCATGTTTGCAGATTGTCACATAAGATTACTTTAGGTAAAATGAGATTGCAAACATTATGTGTAAGGCAGAAACAAATCAAGCCGTTTGTAAACGTTTTGAAATCAATATAAAGTTGTATAAACAATAAATGTCTGCATATTAACACTCAAATACAGGAGTGGAAAGAAAAAGAGAAACCCCTTAATCATAAACTGTCAGAAATGTTTATCAAATTCAACAGTTAAGCATTATTTATTGACTTCATAAGTCTGTAGTTTCTTATATGCCATTAATAGGCAAAATCAATGACGCATTCATTAACTGTGTAATGATATGCTGTTGTGGGTCTTACTGTGTATTATTTTTGCTATGATTTTTTTACTTAAAGAAATACTGTAAGTAATTTTGATATTATCTTTAATACGTCCGAAATTATTGTCATGTTTTAATTCACAGTGGTATTACTTTTGAACAAATGGAAATATATTTTTTAATAGAACATGACAAAATAGATCACAAGAGATGACTGTAATAAGTTACCTTACGCAGAAGTAACTAGTCCCTCTCTAACTGGGTTTGAAATACTTGAACAGATTGTTTGCCTGACTGCCTTTGCCTGCAGCCTTTCTGTCTTTGGTCGTCAGGCTTCTTCCTGGTTTTTTGGATGAGGGTGTCTTCAACACCGGCTTCTTTTGCTTCCATTCAGACATCAACTCCCTCTGAACATCCGGCGGAAGCTCTGAAAACACCTTAGGGTCCACATTTCCTGGAAAATCGCAGTCAGAAGACCGGGAAAATGACGCTCTCCCTTCTTCCATGACGTTCTCTACTGTGCCCGCAGGCCTCTGGTGATTCACGGTGGTTGGCCTATCAGATGAACCTAATTTGTTCAAAGCCTCTTTTATGTCTTTTTGCGAGTCATTAAACGACTCGTGTGTTGTGCAGGGGGGATCAATAAGAGCTGATGAGTTCACTGAAGTACCTGGGTGAGAGTTTGTGTAGGCAGGGGATAACAGCTCCTTCTGGATTTCCACAGGGAGAAGCCTGAACACTTCAGGGTCAAAATGTGGGGGCAATTGATGTGTCCCTGGTACATCTAGTTCTTCACTGTGTGACATGCAGGATACTCTCCGAGTGTCTTCTACAGCAACAACAGGGCTCTGTTTTATTGTAGTCCCGTGTAATGCTGCCTCAGAGCTACGAGACCTTTTAGTGGTTACTGTCTTTTTTGAGGGAGGTTGAGTAATCACGCTGTGTGTGCTAACCGGATGATCCAAGCAGTGACTACCCCCGTTCTGAGAGGAGGAATCCTAATGGAGAATCAAAAAAGAGTTGATTTATTTCAGGAATTTCAAAGTACTGACACACAATTTCTGAGAAGAAGAAATCCTGTAAGAATCATGTACCAGCACAGTGTGAAATGTAAGCATTTTGAAGATCTTTTTAGTACCACATAAATGCAGTTTATTACCTGCATACCACGTAAAGTATGAATGTGTGTTGGAAACCAGTAGGGAGGGCCTGGAATGTTTATATCAAAAAAGGTAAGGAAGGAATAAATCCCGAATTCCATGCTTTCTAGAAAAGGTTTTAAGTCCTCCAGATACCATAATGGAAATGATCTTATCAGTATTTAAAAGAAAGATAATACAGGATTATTCACTGTGCTACCTGGATTTGTGATGAGCAGATTTGTTGTGTTTTTCCAGGTGACGTGCTTTGTGTGAAGAAGGATGTTATCGAGCCCTTTCCGCTGACGGCAGCCCCCTTGGTCTGCAGGTTGCTGAAGCAAACGTTAAGTAGGGTGAGGTGGAAGGCGGCGCTGCTGTCCACCATCTTGTGGAAGAGCTTCATGGCCAGAGGGAGCAGCAGGACCAGAGCATCTTCACTGCTCTCTGTAGAAACATTACAGACAAAATACTTATATTCAGGTTTTTGAAATAAGTCTGCATGTCTGTTGTCATATTTGAATGATGTCATCTCCCTAAAATAACAAAAGAAAATCGTTTTTTGTAGTTATATAAGTGTAATGTAGTCCCTTAATTGTCCAGTGGGAACAAAGCATTTTTTGTGTTTCTCACGACACTATAATGATTGGCTGTCAATAAGAAAATATGAAGACCATCTATTTATATATTTTTTTATTTTGAGAAAGGGGCAGGTAATATTAATTTATTTTCCCTGCTTCTTTGCGGGTTTGGTGTGTTGACAGACATGTTGAGTAAATAATTGTTATACATTGAGTTTGTGCATACCATGAACGGAACAAAAATAAATAAAATGAAATGAAGAATAATGAAATGGTGTTGTTACCAGGCTGTTAAACTACCCCTGAAATACAGGTATGTGTGTTTCTCTTTGTGTACATTAAGAGGGAGAGCAGGGTTTTGACTGCAGTTAAAATCTGTTTTTCTAAAGGCTCTACCCCAACCAATTGATAGGATTGTGCAAAAATACCAGCTTTAAACAGAATGAATAGAAATACAAAAAATATTGATCAAATATTGATTTTGAATGTCAATGTGATGAATGTGACTTTAAACAATTCCATACAGCCATACTGCTTTATATGCTTTCAGGTATGTAGTATTCAGTGAGTGGAGGCCCTAATAAAGTTTCTCCATGTGCCATCCTGAGCTCTTGCAGTCCTTCATGGAGCTGGAGCTTACCGGAGGGGATCTTCTGTCCAACGTGGTTTGGGATCGGACACTGCCGACTCTCCCGGTTGAACCACTTATTAGTGGCAGAGTATTTACGGATGGTCAGCCTGAAGGTTTGAGGCTGCCTGCCATCATTCCGCATCCTAGTTTGGAAAAAGATGATAACAGTTTAGATGCAATGGCCTTGAGCAAATAATCAAGAAAAAAGACAAGTATCTCACCTCTCCACCAGATTGCTCAGGAGCTCTCGAGTCTTTTCCAAAACTTCTTTAGTTGATGATATCTTCTTGAAAGAGTCCTCATCACTAAGAGACTGAAACAAGAAAATGATACTCATTAAGGTAAACTAAGGTGAAACATTTATATATATTTTTTTCTTTTTTGGGATGTCCAGACCTACCTGAGGGGCCCCAGTAGGGGTGACAGGTGACTCATCTACTCCTAGGGCCAGATTCTTTAAGCGCTGAGCGCTGGGAGCTCCAAACTCTCTCGCCAAATCATTCAATGGGAAGAGCTGAAGGTCTTTCACGCTGGCCAATCCCAGGGCTTGAAGTCTCTTAGAAGTTTGATAACCCACCCCTAAAAAAATATGTATAGTTTTAGCAAATGCAAAAATATGTATAGTTTTTCCAAATGCAACCAATTAAAATCCTCTAAAATAAATTCACGCATACATCTTGGGCCTTTCAGAATGTTATCTTAAACAATAGCATCTCTAACGGTTCTATTTTACATTTTCATCTCTTAAATGATCTACAAGAATTGCAAAAATCTTAGTTATCCTTTTTTTATCTATCAAATTATATTCACGATATGGAATCTTTTAATAGCTTTTATTATTGTATTATTGGCTTGCTTTTCTTTCTATTGGTATATTTCTATGTGTTGTTTTTCTCTATTTGATTTTTTGTAGTTTAGGTGATGTCAGTGAAAATGGTGGTTGTCCCTGAATAATATCTTAAATATATATAAAGGTTAAATATAGATGTATTGATGAGTAATTCGTTTTTACACTTAAGTGGAAAATCTATACCTGGTACTTTACGGAGACTGCTCAGGGAGCCTATAATGTCATCAATGTTCTCTGTCAGCAGGGTGGTCTGCTGATTGGGTTTGAAGGTGCCACACACCAGTTTGGCCAGTAGTTTGTTGGTGGCGATGCCAGCGCAGCCAGTGAGTCCCAGTTTGCCTTTGATGTCTTCTCTAATCTCTGCTGCAATGTGTGAACCTAAAGCCAACCTTGGGTGATCCTGGGCTTCAAGTTCTGCACCTGGGCAGGAAAAGAAACACAGAATTACATCTGTGGGTGTAAAAACCTACAATTCTTCATGAGAATACAAAAGTAAACGTTTCATGAGGTGAAGAAACTGAGAGTGCAATGCAAATATTTTTAATTTATTTGTTGCTTTTTCACTACTCATTTCCTGGTTTCAATGTATAAGATGTAATGAGGTGGAAAATCTTGAGTCAATACTGGACTTGGGATTCTTGGGGTAAGCACCGATTGTTGTATTTGTTCAGTAAATACAAACACATTTTGAACAAGACATTTACACACTAGAGAAACAAAAGATTACTTACTAGTATGGTTGTAGACGTGTCCTTTAAATGAAAAGTTGTTAGACTCTGGTGTCTCTGCTAGCCTTCTTTCTACAATCTTTGTAATGTCTACAAAGTTTTCATCAAATCCAAGCCTCTCTACCAGTGGACAGTAGGACATGAGCAGCTCTGAACGAAGACAAGAGAAAAACAAGGTAAATATGAACAGACAATAAAAATGATGCAAGCTAAAATATAAAATAGCATAGAACAATCATCAGATAATAGAGTGAGCTTGTTGAAATGCCCATTTGAACCACAAAAACATGTATCCAACTCGTTTTAATCTCACTCAACTATTATTTTATACCACTTAACAGCCATAGATCAACATGATAAATGAATATGGGGCATGAGTTTAAGTGTGTTCTGTGTTGGATTATAGCCTACTCTTAATACTAAACACAGTATTTCATATTTAGATTACAGCTTTATTTGGGGGAAATCGTGCCTACCTGTCAGTTTATAGGACATTTCTCTGTAGTGTGTCAGGTCTTCTCCTTTAACCAACACTAGTTGAGGACATTTCTCCTTTGCGTCAGTCACAGACATCAGTTTAGAGACCCCCAGATCTCTTGCTACATAGTTACAGGTGACTATGATGTATTTCTGCTGAATACCTGATGATTTAAGATATATACGTTATTGAAGCACAATGAGTGTATTCTTCCACCACAGAGGATCTTTTGTAGTGAATCTGTTTACCTAAAGGGACCTCTCTCAGTGCAGGGTTTCTGATCATTTCCACCTGAGCATAGAAGCAGTCCAAGTCAAAATGCAAAATGACTCTGTGTGCAGGCGTTGGTCCTGATGTCCTATTGAGGCTTGGATCTGAAACAAGACATTAGTCATACACAATTCACCATTTAACACACATAGGTGTGACACAGAGACGTTTTTTTGTATGTATGTTAAAAAGCAAAATGAAAGCGGAAATAAACTGCAGTTAGCCAAACATTCTCCCTTTACCAGAAGCAGCAGCGGGAATGAGTGGGATTGAATCCACGAAACTGTATTTCCACTCGGTGTCATCCTCTTCCTTTTCATCCTCGCTGTTAGCCATTTTATACAACTCAAATGGTGTGCGTTTTGTGGATTAAATAGGTGGTTGTGGTTGGTTGCGACCTGGAAAGTGCACCAAAACAATGAAAATACTTTTTCATGTTAGTCCCAGATCAGTTCTGTTCAATAGCGCCATTGGCGGGTTTGCGGCGAAACAAGGAACTACAAAACAGCCTTGAAATGTATTATATTTATTCCAGTAGGCCTACTCAATTAATTGTACTCTAATACAAATAATATTAACAGGAATAATAATACAACTGTACCCTAACAGTGCAGTATAGAGCACACGTGACCCTGTATGAGGATTATACATAAAATACAGCCGGTGTTATGCCGTCGGTTGAAGCCTTGCCGTGGATTGAAGCCCTGTTCGCGGGGACGCGCAAAGGTGACGTCATCGCCTGTATTGAGCGTTCGCCGTTTTCTAAGCTTTTTTCACCCTTTTCAAAGCTTTTTTCTCTCTTTTGAATGATATATCAGATTAAACAGCAAACGGCTGAATAAATACTGTGCATACAATTGCGAGGAGGCTCGTTTTAAGGACACGTTTTTCAGATCTGTGACAATCTTCGTATTGGAATAAATTTACGTTTTTGAGTGTATAGTCCCACTCTGTTATATTCCTCCTTCCTACAGAACAGACAATGACAGGATAATATGTGATTTGTCAGTATAGTCCTATTTCTTAAAACCTTCTCTGTTGTTTAAGTGTCTGATAACCACGAATAGTAAGCAATGATATAACAGTAATGATATCACATATATGATCATGTCAGACACTGTGTTATTTTCAATCAAGTCTAAAAGATAATATGTTCAAACTGGCTTCACTCACTTGAATTGCTCCTTTGAATATCATTTTTATATATTCCTACTCAACACATGTTTGTATTGTAATGCCACTATTTTTTTTAATTGTATTTTAAAGTCCGGCCAAATATGTATGACATTTTACTCCACAAAAGTATACATATTCAGGGACAGAACCTTTATATCCAGTCTATGGACAGAACACGTTTTATTTCGCATCTGGAAATATATATTTTAGGGGATTCTCGCGCCCTGACCGGTGTCTATATATTGGTGGCAGGTGTCACCCAGCTTCAGTAGGAGCCTGCACCTGTTGACGGCTCATTAGTCACAGACTGTTTGTTGCGTATCGAGAAGAAGTGTTGTGTTTGCTGATGTTTCCCTCGTCTGGTCTTTTTGCTGATATAAACTGTCCATTCTCAAAACGTGGGCTTTGTGAGCGACCTCACTGTTTGTACAAACATGCCACGGAACTGCGGGATAAGTTTGGCGCCAAGTCTGCCAACTATAAATCATCGATAGTTGATTTTGCAGGTCAGTGGTTTAAGCTAATGTTATCCTAGCACCATGTGCAGGTGTGCATTAGCCCGTTGTCTTTGCCTGGTGCGTTTTTACAATTGCAAAGTAATTGAACTGTAAAGTGGGTTGAATAATGATGTGCTTTTAAAGGTTTAAACTAGTAACTTTTAAAGATGACTCAACTTAATTGTGTAATGTTAATTACGTTCCTAAAATAAGGGTTAGAAATGTACTTGAACACTTTAAGAGCAGTGGCCACTCTTGTTCCCTGTATTTTTATTTGTAAATGTTATCAATTTTCACACATTTATCTTTAACTCTGAAAGAGCTCTGTATTATTTACCAACATGTCAACAATGCTAATTGTTGACATGTTGGTGTTAATGCTAAGTCCTATTTAATTTCCCTTTTGTACAGGAGTTCAAAATGGCTATGCAGTGAATGATGAGACCAAAGATGACTGCCTCCAAGAGCTGGAGAGGATCAACAAGGAGATTGAAACTGTAAGGCATGAGGTAGAGCAGGAGCAAAAGCGACTGTCACGCTACCAGACCGTACAGGCAGACAGCAAAAACACTGCTACTCTTTCCACGCCTGAGACTGCAGGTAAAGTTAAAGGTACCTGTGGGCGATCTTCATACACAACCTTTACAAAAACGTACTCCCGAGAACGGAAGTACGTAGTTGACAATTCAAAACCAAGGACTGATTTGGAGTATGACCCTCTGTCCAACTTTTCTGCTGGCATACGGTCCTACAGCTCAGCAGGTAAAGAGCAAAAAGGGAAACATGGACAAGGTTTGAAAAGGGCAAGAAATGCTGTTCCTTGTGACCAAAATAAACCAGTTTTATGTCAGCCTGGGCCTTCCTGCTCGCCTTCTCCAGAGCCCCTTGATGACTCTAATGAAGACAGCGTCCTGATTATCGATATTCCTCCCTCGCCTGACAAAAAAAGAGTGAGAGCTCAACAATCTGGTGATTCTCTTGCTGGCAAATACCTCAAGGAAGAAGCAGACAAATTGGAGGTTAAAAAAACACATATTTTACTTCTAAACACTGAGGCGTGCAAAGTAACATCTCAACCCGCATCAAAGATAAAAGGAAATAGACTTTCTAGTAACTGCGTAGCTGAAAACACGAAAAGTCATATTAATGTTTATGAGAACAGAGAATGTGAAAATATACCAGTTGATGGGAGTGTGGTTGAGTTAACTGGCTTTTCAGAAGACCTGCGATGTGAAACTCAGGAAATGACTCACTTTCAGGCTGCAGAAGAAGTATTTGAGAAAATTACTGGACCTGCAAGTCCTGCCAACTTAGACCAGCAAGTTAACGACTGGAACGATCTGGTGTTTGAAAAGGAAGAAGACACGTTTCAGTTTGAATTTCCTCAGTGTGAGCTCCCCAATTTTGCTGATAAAATGATTCTACTGCAGTCGCATAATTTTCCACCAAATAATTCACTTTTTTATAACGCTCCAGATGCTAATTCAGGCTCTCTGTGTACGCAACAAACTAAGCAAGCCCAGGCAGCAGAGCAGCCTGCTCAGAACAGGGTTAGTTATCAGCCAGGACAGATGCAGGGTCAAGCTGCTGCACCTGAAAACTACCTGGAGCCAGCAGAGCCCACTTCAGACCATGGCAACGGTCAAGCTTGGCATGAGTCATCGGCATCAAATATGATCACTGGAGCTGAATCGGTAAGCCCATCCAATGAACAGCTTTTGGTGAAAGAAAAGACCGTGGGGGAAATACTCATTAGTTCTAGCTCTGATGACGACGATCAACTGAACAATTCGGATATGGAGCTGTCGGACAGTGACCCAATGGAGGAATGCTACAGGATCTTCATGGAGGCCAGCGAGAATAATGGAAATGAGGAGCAGCCCAATGTATCTGTATGTATGCTGTGGTCACTCCAGAACCAAGATAAAGAAATGTCTCCCAGAGTATAAAACTATTTTTCCGTCACCCTGTCATTTTTAGGTTGGAGCTATGGAAGAAGAGAAGACGAAGTTAGATGTCAAACAACAAGCATTGCCAGGAAAGAAGAGGCTGGCTCATGAAGCCAAACGTATAGAGGTACTTGTGCATGTCATGGCTGATGTTGGGGGAGGCACTCCTGAACTGGAGGGGAATACTTCAACAAAAGCTAAAAAGATTCACTCAAACAAAATAATATAAGATTCAGCAAACATTTTATAATATATTATTTTTGTCGTAGGCTCATTTCTATCTCAAACAAGTATTCTGGAAATTATAAACGTTTACCATATGAAAATTAAGATATCATTTATGTAAATTCCCTATTACTGATCAAACAAATCAAGATATCCACACATGTACACAAATCTAAATATTTTTGAATGGCCATTACCCCTTTTGACATAACAAACATATATGTGTAGCATTATTTTTTGATGAATCTGATTTGTTCAGCCAGCGAGTAAGAGCAGACCTCAACCCCAGGTGCTGGTTCCCCTGCGTGGGCCTGCGGTGTCAGGATTTGCCTCCCAGCCCTCCATCACCCCTGAGATCCAGCAGGTACAGCAGAGAGCCTCCATGCTGATGGCTTCAGTTAAAGGTGTTCAGCCTCTGGTTCACTCCATCTCTCAGAGGAGGCTAGAGACCCAGGTTGCACCTTTGCATTCAATTCAAACACCTGAAAGCCTGCAGCCTGCTCCTGTGCAAAATAGTAAGTATCATCAGCTGTGGAGGACGGGTTTGATTACGTTTTTTTATTTTTGCTGTTGAAAGATTACCATTTTAAACGTCAACATCAGATGGTTTCCATATAAAAAAAAGTTAAATAAAATGTAGGGAAAACTATTCACTTTATTTCTAAAGTTTTAAAGCCTTTTTAAATGTTATTACTCCTTTTTTTTTTTTTATCAAATGTTTTTATTCACACACATTTAGTAAATTACAATCACAACACAAATTACAGAAAATGCAGAAAAACAAACAACAATCAGACAAGAGGACAAAACTAAGGAAAAAAACAAAAAACCCCTCCCACCCCCAATCCCAGGACCTCTCAGGACCTCTCAGGACCTCTCAGGACCTCTCAGGACCAATGACTGCAAACAAATATATCGGTTAAGATAGCTAGATCCGCTCCTTCAATTTTTCAGCTGTCGACACCCATAAACCGATATTGGACTCCTTAACTCCAACAGTTCCATGTAGACTATGTCAAGAAACGTTAGTAACCAGCAGGTCACTGAGAGCTTGTCAGGTTGTTTCCACCTCATAGCAACCAATTTCTTGGCAGCCGTAAGTCCAGCATAGAGGTCTTTTCTGGGATAAGTCATTTAAAAGAAAAACAGACACAGATACAGTCAAATTGTATTGTCAGTGGGCATGTTAGAATATATATGCGTTTCCATCCACCTGTTTTTCCAGGTTTCTTCATTGTTTCTCACTGTTTGAAGTCCCATTAGTCCACTTTAAAGGATGTCTTGTTGTGCCCTTTGGCAATCGTTTTCAGACTAGAGAATTGGCGCCACCTACTGCTTATCTTAATGATGCAATTCCTAATGATCACATAATGTTAGCTGATGGAAACGAGCGTTCATTCATTTGCTTTTACTGATTTAGCCGACATTGGGTTTAGATGAGATGGAACTACATTTATCCCCGTAGGGAGATTCAGGCGTTTATAGCAGCAACAATGACTGATTTGAATGAAAACCTTGCAATAGACATTTTACCAGTAAAACATCTTGAGACACTACTGTATGAAGATCAAGCAGTATTTAATTTCTGGGTTTCTTTGTGCAAAATCTTGAGTAAAATGGTTATCCTGTTAAAGCAGCTTTGCCCAGTGCATAATATCTGCACGTGTTTTTTCTTTTTGTGTTATTCCACAGCTTACATGAACTACATATCTTTGGGAACGGCTGTGATCGGAGTGGGCAACAACTTGCACTTGATCCTCCCAGAAGGCACCTTTCCTCTGCCTGTCACTTCCAGTTCCAGCCAAGTTACTTCAGTGCTAACCCCAATCAGTCATTTGCCTACAAGCTATGGCGCTGTAAGACAAATGTACCATCTACCTGCAGTAACCCCCATGCAAAGATACCGCACAACAGCACCTGTGCTCATCCCTGCGCCGGCACGTAAACCTTCCCTGACCTCTGCCTTTGCAGCAACACTTTCAAGTCCAGCCGCTTCCACTACCTCTCAAACTGCTGTCCATGCTGGCCTTAAGGTGATGTATGCAAAGCAGCATTTGTTGTGTCTGAACTGAAGAATTGAACTAAACTTGTCTTATGTCAGTTGGCCATGTTTCATCTTTTAAATGTACTATAATGAATTGATCCTTTTAAGCTGGTGCCTACTAAACGTAAGATGAAGCAGCAGTGCGAGACGGTCAAAGTTCCCCATGACACCCGACAACGTTATGTCAACTTGTTTACAGAGGAGTTCCTCAAGACAACAGCCAATGTTAATGATGCCTTTGAAAAGGTGAGCTTGTGCCTCCATATGTCAAATTCACTTACACAGTTTACATTTGAATTTCTATCCCTTTTGTGGGTTATAGGCACTTGCTGAAGAGAAGGCTGTGTATAATCGCAGTATGAACAAACTCAAATATATGAGTGTTGCTGTAAATGCACTGAAGAAGCTGAAGAACCAAGTGGCTGTTGCTGATAAAGGTGAGCATTTTTGCGAACCCATTTATAACCGTGAAACCGTCATAAAATGTCAAAGCTATATTTGAGTTATATTTAATCCCTTTTTTTCTGGTGCAGATGAAAATGAAGTTAACAGCCAACAATCCAAAGGCAACATTCCCCTTAATCTGAAGTTGAAAGGAAACGGTAAGAATGTTTTTTATTATTTAATTGCGTTTTTCAAATATTTCGACAGCTTCTCAGAGAATACATTTTTCATGCAGATGATACGGCATTGTATGAGAGCTTGAAGGAATATGTTTTGTCTGAGGAAACGCTGGTTGAGAGCAACTTTCCTGTCCAGCACCCAGAGAAACCTGGCTGTGCTGTTCTTTTTGCTGACAACAAGAAAGGCCACGCAGACCGTAAGTGAAATCAAAGCACAACTTGATGCTATTCTCATATTGTATCACTAGAGGGCACAAGATACCTGTGCGGTATTTGCCATGAGGGGTTATTTGCTCTGCACACTTTACTCTACTGATGTGCTTTTTTGGTTGTGTTTGTTAAAGCCCTCAAGAGGATCTGCTGCCGATGTGGTGCTACGTACTCTGTGAGCCAAACGGGCAAGCACATTCGTAAGGAGGAGTGTAACTACCACTATGGGAAAGGAGTTACAAAGAAAGGTGAGTTTACTGTAGTTTAATGCTCTGAAAAACAATGTAAATGTTACTTTACAGGTTACACCAACAGATGATTGTACACACTTTGATGTCACTAGTGCCAGGTGGAGTTGAGACGCGCTACAGCTGTTGTGAGGGAGTCATGGGAGCACCTGGATGTCAGGTGTTTAAGGTAAGAAAAGGTGGATTGGGAGATTATTCCATAACTTGATAGCCCCTAAAACATCCCAAAAGGAATTGGCAGGTAAATGTCTGACATTTGTATTTTGTCTTCAACAGCTGCATGTCCATGACTTCATCAGCATGGATGGGTTTGTGTCGACCGTTCCCAGATGTCCCTCAGATACGAGCTGTCCTGGGGTCTACTCCTTGGATTGTGAAATGGTAATCGGCTTTTTTTAAATCTCCATTTGATTACCAAAGACATTTGTGGACTTTTTACAATAGCAATATGACCACAGCAATTCTTACAAACAATGTAAATGAACATGTTTTTTGTTTTGCTGTTTGAATGTATAGCTGGCGTTGAGTCAGTATTGGGGGAAAAACAATGTATGTTGTGTTCATTTTTCTCCTCAGTGTTACACCATTCATGGCCTGGAGCTGTCCAGAGTGACTGTAGTCAACTGTAATCTGCAAGTTGTCTATGATGCCTTCGTCAGACCTGATTATGAAGTCATTGACTATAACACCAGGTAATGTTAAAAGATACTTGGCTTTGTTTTCGTCCCTGTTTTTCCTCTATAGGCTCAAACACATTCTGGTTAACCAATTTAAAATCTGTTGTAAAACTAATATGGAAACTGGCAAGAACCAACTCAACTGGTTCTTAAATGAGCAAATATATATATATATATATATATATACATATGCAGTTAAAGCAAATGGTCTTACCATGGAGACTGGACATTATCATTATATATTTTAAAAAGATGCAAGGTCTAATCATCATTGAAACGATAAGGTTCAACTACTGTTCAATGTATTGTAATTAGGGCCGGGACTCGATTAAAAAAATTAATCTAATTAATTAGAGGCTTTGTAATTAATTAATCGCATTTTTAATCACATATACATATTTGCAATTTTTTTCACATGGATTTTAGTATACCATAAGGCGCATTCACACCGCAGTACTTTTCCCACAAAGGTTCATGAGAACTTAGTTCATGAGAACTCTTTGAACCTGGGGGTGGATTAGGCAAATGAAGCCACTGACGTCACTTCTTCTTCTTCTGCTTTGGGTTTACTGGCAGGCCGCAAACCACTTCACGGCGTATACTGCCACCCAAAGTCCCCGGAGTTGGGGACTGGCTTCAGTAGAAGCTGCTGGGAGTCCCAGCAGCCTTCCGAGTAAATCGCCAGAACGCCGACACCTCCTCATCTCCACCGCTCCCATGTTTTATTTTGTGTTGCCATAAGTTAGTCTCTCTGCGTTTCTGCGCTGGGCTAATGCTAATAATGCTAATGCGAGGATAATAAAATGGCGGCTTCACAAAACTTTTTGGGAGTTTTACGGGGCGTGGTTTGCAATCCGCCCAGCCAATCAGAAATATAGCTCTTTTCTCACAAGAGAGCCGTACGAAAGTCCCTGCTCTCTAGCAGCTCTCTGCTCTCTAGCAGGGACTTTCGTGGGGGTAAAAAGGTTCTCATGAACTAATTTTAGTACCGGTTCTTTTTGGTGTGAACGCGATAAAAGAGGCTAACGTCCACGCTAGCTGCTATATGTTTTTGCATTGAGGTGATACTTGAGGCTTGATGTGCTGCGGTGATATGCGAATTCCTTTTTGCATAATTTGCACACAACCGTGCTCTTATCGACGCTTCCATCCGTCCGTCCGTTTTTTAAAACAACATTTCCCACTGTTGTTCTTCACTGTGGTTTGTTGTTGTCTGAAGTCATGAACGTTAGTTGGTGCTCCAGTATAATCGGTACGCCTGAAACTCATCCAGTGAGAAACGTTCCGCGGTGCAAAAATAAGTGCGATTAAAATGCGTTAATTTTTTTAACGCGTTAATTTTTGTGTAATTAATTCATCTTAATTAACGCGTTAAAGTCCCGGCCCTAATTTTAATTGGAAAAGGTATTGTGTTTTTATATTTAATTGGCAACCTCTATTAGAAGCCTGTGTGACACTTTACTTGTAAAGGTTTTCAGGCATCAGTGAAGAAGATCTTAAAGGGAACCACACCTCCCTCAGAGAGGTGCAGGAGACCTTATTGAGCTTCATCAGCACTGACACCATTCTTATTGGACATGGCCTGGAAACAGACTACTATGCCTTGAAGGTGACTTCTATAACTTTGTTCCAACATTATTGGTCTTCTTTGGCACGTAATCTTCCACAACATGTCGTATTTGTAATCCTGACTAACCAGTGAAGTCCGTGATTTTTTAAAACAAAGCTGAAACTAAGCAAAGCCAGTAATATTCATTAAGATCACATGCTATGCTCCAAGCCATTTCCCTTCAAAGAGCCCTTTTTTAATGTCACTTCATATATGTATCCCTTTGCTTATTTCATGCTGTGATATATTCATTTCACTGCCATGCCACATTTTCGAAGCATGATGTTCAAAGGCCAATAGTGCATTTTTAATGGCAAATTAGTGTTTGGATTATTGATAACCTGAGGGTGTTTTTTTATTTTTATAAAGAGTTACCTTATGAGAAATATTCAAACTCTGAATATACTGTTACCTGTTAAGGGAAAGTCTCATTAATCATGTCTGACCAGCTGCACCAGACACACCAGAGGAAGTGTGGCCACAAGTTAGAACAGGTTTATACTGTATATTCAATAACTTATAGTTAGCATTCAACATTATATTACTCTTAGGTCAAAGTTCTGAAAGTCTGTAAATTTTTCATCAGGTATACTATTTGTTTCAACTATTATACAACTGGTTTGACTTTGAATCACCATCAGTGGAACAAAGAGGCTAGACCCAGTCATAAAAGCCTCAGATATTTTCCTTTTTGCTGTAGTTGCTCCATGGGACGGTGGTAGACACATCAGTGGTCTTCCCACATCGTCTGGGCCCCCCTCACAAGCTGACCCTCAACAAACTCACCGCTGATTACCTCAGGAGAATCATCCAAGAGAGTGGTGGGTCATCATGGATAGCCACATCCACCACACAAATCACTGTTTTATGTCTACTCAATTTCAATTTGACCTCTTTTTTTTTAAATATGGGAAAAAAACGTAATATAAATAAAGATCGGCAAATGATGATGGAGAATAGATCAACATGTGTGTAATTGCAACAGTTTCATGTTTTTAAATGGCTAATGCGTGTGTTGGTAATGTGTACGTTTATTAAAATACGTTGTGTTCATGTTTCTCCCAGTTTGTGGCCATGACACTGCAGATGATGCTGCTGCCTGCATGGAGCTTATGTTATGGAGGGTCAAAGAAGATGGAAAATTCAAAAAATGATGGAAATAAACCATGATAATCGCCACACTTTTCATACATGAATAATAAAACGCATGCTGTCATGCAAGTATGTCACATCTATTTTGTTCTAAAAACATTGGAGGGCTGTTTCTGTTATTTGTTTACATCACTTGATTTATGTTAGTTACAGTATTTTCTGTACGTTACATTTTGATTTGCAGCCCATGTATCCATGCCTGTATACATAATTGTGAAATCCTGTAGGATGGGGTGTCATCAATATTTTCCAAGTAAAGGCACATAATGAAATCAATTTGTGTGATATATATATTTTTTTAAAGAAGCTCTCAATAGCCAATGGGCATTCACCATTTTATATCTAATTAGCCTCAGGTGTGCTATTACAAATAAGAGCACACCTGTATGTAATTACTAGTGATTTAAATACATGGTGTTTGTCTATGTGAAGGCTAAGATTGTATTGATTTTTTACAGACTGCTGACTTGAATTCATTGAAATGTATAGATTAGGGGTGTCAAACTCAAATACACAGTGGGCCAAAATTAAAATAAACGGTACTAGTCGAGGGCCGGACTGGTTCAATGTTTATTGCAAAACGTATTGAAATGAACTTATTGCACATATTAAACCTGGAACTAACAAAGCTTAAATGATTGCCTATAAAAACAACATCAAACAATCAGTTGCATTCATTTCTTATGGCTCTATCTGCAGCTTTTCCGGAGTCATTTCTTATGATTACATTTTTCCACAGGCCAACAACAGCTTCAACAAAACTATTTCCCTCAAAGAAAAAACCAGACATGCCCTGTTGTCGTGAGAGAAAAAGTGCAGAAGGAAACATCCATTGAAACTCAGTTTGTTGCTCTAGTTCAAGCCAGATACTTGGCATCTCATCTTGGGTGCAGGTTCATCAACGTTTGGGGGTCGAGCTGAGGAAACCCTCAGGATTGAGTGAAGGTGTGCGTGCAATATACCGGCGGGCCAGATCTAATAGTAATTAGAAATTATCCTGCGGGCCGAAATTAAATCCACCACGGGCCGGATTTGGTCCCCGGGTCTTGAGTTTGACACGTGTGGTATAGATCAACACATGGCACATAGGAGTTTCATTACTATGCTTAAAACTGATTTGAATTGTTTTACTCTTTTCAATGTATTGCTTTAATTTCTGATGTCTTAATTATTCTTCTTAAGCCACAAATAAATCCATTGTGGAACATAAAAAGATACTAGTGAACCCATGTTTATGCCATGACCATTTCCTTTTTTACCAGCTACATTTCAAATCAGTCGTTTACTCCGCCTTCCTCTTTGTCTTTCCCTTTCTGCCACAGCACCTACGGAAGCAGTAACTGCAGGTTTTGATGAAGAGGAGTATGACGAACAGAGCAATGGCGAGGAGGAAAGCCAAGACATCCAGGCTGTGATACTGGTACCAGGTGAGTTCATGGGCCTGGACCCTCAGGTGCTTTGCTCCTTTGTTTCTCATGGTGAACTCGATCCAGAACACCGCCTCATCCCGAGGATTAATTGGTCTGTCGTGGAAGATACTGGACAGCCTAATGGCATTCTCCTTGTACCTGTGAGTGTGGACATAAAGGTTTCATGTATTTTAAGTCAGGAGTCTCTAGCAGGAACTATTGCTTACACTGCTCCCATGGTCACAGGGACACAGAAAACCGTCCACCAGGTTAAGAGGCCAATTATTTGTGGGGACATTGTGATAGCTCTAATAACTCACTGAAATAGACCAAGTGCAGATAAGAAAAGTAACTTACGATTTATCATTGATTACAGTATTGAATGCATCTCTAAGTTCCTCAGTCTTCATGAAGTTTAAGTCCGCGATTATGGCAGCTCCTTTAGCTTTCATATGGACCATGTTGTCTGGCTGGTCAGCGAACTGAGGGAGGCCCACCATGGGAACACCGTGGTAGATGGCCTCATAAATCCCATTTGTGCCACCATGGGTGATGAAAGCTCTGGTCTTGGGGTGACCTGACAGGGTTCCAAAAAATCATGAATAATTATTTACTTCTTCAGACAAGAATTGGTGTTTATGCACATATTTCTACTTCTCTATGTTGACTAATACACACATATGAACATTGGGCTTGTAAGTGATGCTGGCTCTAATCATAATAATCCATTTTATTTATAAAGGCGCCTTTCAAAGCTCTCAAGGACGCCATACACAAAACAAAAACAAAAGTACAAAAACAAGACAATATAATCAAACAATAAAAACGGAGGACGTGTGATGTGATCAGGGTGGATATGCCAGTGTGAAAAGATATGTTTTGAGACGTGATTTGAAAATGGAGAGAGAGTCAGTATTCCGGATGTCAGGTGGGACGGAGTTCCAGAGGCGGGGTGCAAAGCGGCTGAAGGCTCTGGACCCCATGGTGGTTAAGCGGAAAGGTGGTGCAGTGAGGTGGATGGAAGCAGAATATCTGAGAGTGGAGGTGGATGAAAGCAGAAGGTCGGAAAGGTATGGAGGAGTGAGGTTGTGGATAGCCTTAAAGGTGAGTAGCAGAATCTTATAATCTATTCTATATGGTATTTGACAGGCGGCCAGTTAAATTGCTGAAGAACAGGAGTGATGTGGTGAATGGAGGGGGTTCTGGTGATGATGTGGGTGGCAGAGTTTTAGACCAGTTGAAGTTTGTGGATGGACTTGAGAGGGAGACCAAAGAGAAGAGAGTTGCAGTAGTCGATGCGTGTGAAGTGACCAGGGCGTGAACAAGAATGGCAGTGCTGTTAGGTGTAAGGGACGGGCAGAGGTGCTTGATGTTACGTATATGGAAATAAGCAGACCAAATGACATTACTGATGTGAGTTTTGAAGGAAAGTGTGCTGTCGAAGATGACACCCAGACTCTTAACCTGAGAGGCGGGTGTGACTGAGGAGTTGATGAAAATGGAGAAACTGTCAGGTTTGGTTAGGCTGGATTTGGTGCCAATGAGGAGAACCTCGATTTTATCACTGTTAAGTTTGAGGGAGTTGTTGGAGAACCAGGATTTGATTTCCTGTAAGCAATCAGAGAGAGAGGTGGGAAGGAGGATGGAGGTTGGTTTGGAGGACAAATAGAGCTGGGTGTCATCCGCGTAGCAATGAAAGTAAATGTTTGATTTACGGAAGATATGGCCAAGAGCAAGTAGATGGATGATGAAAAGAAGAGGCCCCAGGACAGAGCCCTGGGGAACACCGGTATTTACTGGAAATGGCTGTGATTTGAAAGTTTTGAGTTGGATTAACTGAGTGCGGCCAGAGAGATGTGATTTAAACCAGTGCAAGGGGTGTGTCAGTGATTACAATGGAGGCAGGTCTGTCTAGAAAGATGCTGTGAGAAATGGTGTAAAAAGCCACACTCAGATCGAGGAGGATGAGAATGGTTAACAGTCCTGAGTCAGCAGACATGAGGAAGTCGTTAATATGGTTGGGTATCGTTTGAATTTCTACGATTCTGATTCCGATTCCGATTCTACTTTTCGATTCCGGTTCTTAATGGTTCTCAATTCCGATTCTTTGAGGGGCAGGGTAAAAAAAATGATACATGCTTCTTCCACCAATTTTTTTTAATTTATTCGAGAAACTTTTACACAGGTTAGTTTACAGTAATATTCACATTAATCAGTCTGTTTATATTCACTGCTATGTAACTGTAACCTGAGAACCACTGAAGCTGCAACAGTCCAACTTTTAAAGAACAGTTCTTGTTGAGAAAAACAAGCATATCTGCCTTCTCAGGCATACTTGGAAGAAATGTTTGAACATTTTAAAGTAAAATGCTTCAATCTGGTGCACTTTAAGCAGAATGACTAGAGACTAGATCTAGGGGGTACAACTCTAAACACCCATATGAAAAAGATCGGTTTACATTTTAATAATTAAATAAGTATGTGAACATAACCAATAACCTACCATGGCCAATAACAAATACATGTAACGTAATTTATTTTTGTTGTTCATTCATATCTTATTTTACTATTTTATTTATGCATATTTTGTTATCTCTCCAGTTTAAAACGATATGTTTGGTTTACTGTCCTATAGTATACATTGGAATGATTTCAAACCTGTTTTATCCCAATCATTATAAAGGAGTGCCTTGGAAATATGTGTTTACATAAATTGTGATCAAAACGTTTGAGACCCACTGAGATAACTTAGACTAAAGTGAACTATCTAAAACCCTCAGAGTCCTTTACCTCACTGAGCTGTAGTTATCAGCCTCTCAGTCTGACTGGAGAGGACTCTCCCTCCACATCATTGTAGAAACATCTTCTTCTTCCGTTAGAGCAGCTAGCACCAGATGCTAATAACAACAGCGCTGGTACCGGTGCACCCTCCCTTTCTCCCTCGCTCGCTCCCACGCTCACTCGCACTTTGGCTGTGAGCTGCGGGTGCCAGATAAGCCAACATCCCCCATTTTCATCACTTACAGCGCCCATCGTACAGAGCAAATTAAAAGTGTAACCGGGATGAAAAGGGTGTTACATTTACTTAATTATGAATGTTGTTACATCAAGGCCGAAAATTAGGATGAGCCCCAACGGTCAAAACATTTGTTTTCCCTTCCAGAGCTGTCAGCGCAGCGCCTCCACAGATCTGGCGCCCTAGGCGAACATGGTTACGCTGTAGGAAGTGTAGGTACAACGCTACATTTCCCGCCCCGCCGCAGTCATACAGTAGGCTACGGAGAGCAGCGAGAAACATTTCCTCAGGCATCGAAAAGCGGAACCGAAATTCACATTTTTAAATGATGCCGTTGGAATCGAAATGTTGGAACCGGTTCTCGGTACCCAACCCTAGTCGTTAGTGATTTTCACCAGTGCTGTTTCTGTGCTGAGATGGGGGCGGAAACCAGATTGGAATTGTTCGTAGAGGTTATTGTCAGACAAGTGGGCATGGATCTGGGACGCAACTGGTTTTCCAGGATTTTTGAAAGAAATGGTAGGTTAGAGATTTGACGGAAGTTATAGAAATGGTTGGGGTCTGCACCAGGTTTCTTAAGTATGGGTATGATGGCGGCTGATTTTGAAAGGTGAGGGAACAAGACCAGAGGTGAGGGAGGAGTGTATGATGACAGTTATTAGGGAGGACAGAGAGGGTAGACAGGCTTTTACCAGGGGAGTAGGAAGAGGGTCTAACTGACAGGTAGATGGCTTGGATTTCCGTATGAGGTCCGATTTACAACATAGGGAAGTATGAAACGGGAAAGTGAACGAGAGAGGTTCCGAGAGAACAGGAAGAGATACACTGCAGGAGGTGTTATGAGTCAGTTGTTGATGAATCTTGTGTATCTTGGTATCAAAAAATGACATTAGTGAGTCTGATGAGGTGCAAGAGATATAAAGCGCATATCTTTTTTTGTAAAACTGCAGAAAACAGTACTGTGACAAAAAGTGCCACAAATGTCAAACTCATTGTGGTGTTAGAGAAAAGTCAGAAGGATGACACAAATAATTAGAATAAGCTGTCAGATGGTTTTGAAATCGAGCTCATGATAATGTGCTCTCCCTCGTCTTTAAATTGATGTGCAAAGAGCACTCGTGTTTCGATGCATGTGTCTCTCTAGCAGTGCTTCTCAAAGTGTGGTCCGCGGACCACTGGTGGTCCGTGAGTGCCCCCTAGTGGTCCGTGAGTATATTGGTAACATTTCACATTTGAAATAAATAAATACATTTAAGTTTTCCGCACTCTCGCGGGAATATCTCCGCAATGGAGCGAGCTTATGTTTCACTTTCTATTGCATGATATAGCCCAGAGCAACACCTTCGTCACACATGTTGCCATCTGTTCGTACCATTTTCAGGCGATTTGTAATCTGTTCTAGAAAAACTATGTGATTTGGGATATTTGTGGAGTTAGGTGGTCCGCGAGTGTTTTTTTATTGGTTAAGTGGTCCTTGGTATGAAAAAGTTTGAGAAACACTGCTCTACTGTATGTCCCTTTTATGATTGTTTACTTTCAAACTAAATAACAAAAAAGCAACACAATGTGGCAAATACCCTGTTCTAATAGTAAAGGAAAAGTCATATGGATCACTGATTACGAAGGTTTTTATAAAAATGTTACTTACCCAGCAGGTCATTCTGAGGGATCCAGTTGTATATTCTGGTGTTGGCACCCAGAGTTGCTGGTTTTTCTCCACTGTATCTCCACAGCACCTTAAAACCATAGTAAAAACACTTAAACCCTGTGCTAATTCAAGGGTTAGGTTAGTGCTTGGGGTCATTCAAGTCAGCTCCAGTACCGTGGAGATTGTCCTCTTACCTTTTGTGGGATCTGAGCGAGGGCTGAGGCGATCATGTTTCCCTTCTCTGTAGTAATGTTCTTGATGAATGATCCCAAAGTGAAGACCACAATGCCAGCATCACCAGAACTCTGCACAAACTCCTCCATATCCTGCAAAAAGATAAAAAATGTCTTGATGCAAACCAACCAGCTCCGTCTTTTCTCAGCATTGTAATGGTCAATTCTCTAAATTGCTTTAGTCATCAATTACCTCTGGTAAAGGTTTAGCCGGTCTGCAGTGGATTCCACCAACAAATTTGAAGTTGGGAAGGAAAGGACGAGGGAAATCAAAATCCCAGTAGGTTCGCATCAACCAGATATCTGCTCTACCCATTGTCTCACAGGCACTGGTGGGTGTTCCTGTCACAATGCAAAAGTTATGGATACAGCTGCCCATTGAAACGTATCCCCAATAAATAAGATGCAAAAGCTAAACATGGCATTTTTTCTTGCTCATTGGGGAATATTGGTTCTAACTAAAGTAAAGTGAACAGTCCAGACCTGATCTGTATAAAACGTGTCATGTCTTAACTTCTGTAGATATTTGGTGTTATATCAAGCTAATAGAATTTACTTTAAAATGTGGTGTTACGCAGAGGTTTTTGTTTCTGAGTTACTCACCTTTGACTTCGGAGTAGTATTTATCGAGTTCTTTCCAAAAAACGTTACCTATCACAATGTCTTGCAAAGCGTAGAAGAGGAAGTTCCACACTCTCTCTGAGAAGTCCATCTTGTCGGTCAGTTTGCTCATAGCTCCAGGGACAAAGGAGGGAGGAGCAGGGAGCTGACCACAATATCTCTCCCAGTTGTGGGCTATGGAAAAGCGGAGAGAGTACACCAGGGGGATGCCCAAAAGCTCTGCTAATAAGTCACCACCGGGGTAAATGGGGTCAACCAAGAGAAGGTCATATTTTCCGTCCTTCAACTTTTTCATAATGGTTTCTGATTTCAGCACACCGTCCGCGAACTTCAAAGTATACTGCAGGTCGATTCTCATTAGATCCATGTATTTGATGTAAAGCTGAACGTAGCTCATATGATCCATCTCATACATTGAGAAGCGAAGATATTCTTCAAAAAACTCTTCCATGGTCTCTATTGAGACGGAGACGTTAAAGGGTTCATAGCCAAAGCGAGAAGGTTCACTAGAGTTCATGAACATGGACGTGCTCGGCACCAGCACCTTCACCTGGTGTCCCCTGTCGACCAACGTCTCCAGCACAGGCTTCATGTTAATCCAGTGGCTGCCTTCAGTGAACCACACCAAAATGTTCCCTCCATTTGCGCTCCATGTCACAGAAAGTATCAGCAGGACACAAACGGAGACATGCTGCTCCGGCTTCATGGTGCCGGTTTGTCAAGACGCTGTGGCCTGATCCTTGTTTTAAACTCACTCCTAGATGAATAATCATTAACAGACAGAGCTGAACTCTGACTCCATTTGTCTGCTGCTCCGCACAATGGATAACAGGCCTATACCAAGCAAGTTGTTAGTCAAAGTCAAAGGTCAAAGTGAAATGTATTATCAATATCTGTGATTGTGTGTTACAAACAGGGAGACTGAAATTCCCAAAGATGAATAATATACAGAAAAAGATATATGTATATGTACTGTTGACAGATCTGCTGTTTAACCCTTAAAGGCCGAGCGAGCCGCCCGCGTCTTCAAAGAGGTAGCGTTCTAAAATGCTTAATAACTTTTTAACCGCTAATTCTATCCATCTGATTTAAAAAGTGAGGTAAAGCGGCTATTCTAGGCTTTTTGCTGGTATCACTATGTCCTTTTCCGGGATTTAGAGGCTCCGACGTGATCGGGGGAAAGTTATCACATTTTACAGCCTTGATTCGTCAAGGAGACCCACGCGGCCCCTCTGTCTGAGCCAAACAGCCAAGGTTTTAGACTAAGTCCCACCCCCCTGTGTCCGGATAGGTTTAAAATGTAAAGGTCCAGGCAAACCTCTGCCCATGCTACCATCTTCTCGACCAATCAACATAGGTTGCTGTGTATGTTTTTGGCGGCGGGAGATAAACAAAGAGAAACAGAGAGACGAGAGAGTAATACTAAAGAAGAGTAATTCTGCCAGCGTAAGAGAAATACATACAACACGAGATATCTAGATACAGTCACACACACACACACACACAGTCACACACACACACACACACACACACACACACACACACACACACACACACACACACACACACACACACACACACACACACACACACACACACACATACATACACACACACACACACACACACACACACACACACACACACATATCCCAAGACAAATTCAAACCAACATGTCAAAACGGCGTTACACTACGGAAGAAACCGTAGAATTTATTTTGTCTGGCGGACCGCTTAGCGATGCAGCGGTGGATTCCTCAGATTCTGAAGCTGACAACTGGCAAGGAAGAGGAGTATGATCACGGGATTGATCCCTTCGAAGATAAAAAAGTGAGTAACTTTGCTTATTTCTTATTGTTTGTGTTGCATTTATCGGTTGTTGTTGCTGTATAACGCCGAAAATAATTAGTCCTAAGAGTTTTTATAATGGATGGCCATTTGCCGTAATTGTGTCATAAAGTGAAGTCCTGAGCTCAAGATTCACTATCAATAGAGGCTACTATTTATTTCAGTAAAAAAACGTCAAGCAATACCTTTCATTTATTGCCTCATTCCGCTTGCCCTCTTTGGTTGTTTGTTATGAGGTCTAATGTTATTATATTCATTGCATTACAATTCAGTTACTGATTCCATCAACTAGTAATGTTAGCAGAGGGATAAAGTGTGAATCAAATCAAAAGTTGAGACTGTGTTTAGAAAACAGATAGGATGACACTGGAGAAATAAAAGCAATAAAGGAAATAAAATAAATTCAGACATTTATATCTGTATATTTTCCTCCCTTTTATTTTAGGACAGAGGATGAGAGAGGGGATGCACAAGCCACTGTCCCCATCAGTAGGCCTCCTTCAAACCGAGAGGGAAAAGAATGTGGCCAGGAGGGTGCAGCATCCAGAAAAAAGGCCAAACCAATGCCAGCCCCCCTGACAGTGAAAGGGAGAGGAAGAGGAAAAGGGAAAAAAACATCTCTGACCCCAGAAGAGCCAGGAGCTGTTTGGAACGGACCTGAGGTGCCAGATACTGCCCAACAACTACCACACTTTTGCCCGAAAAGAGCCCGTGGAGTCCAAGGTTTTGTTGGTGTGGAGTATACTCCTGCACAAATATTTAGAAATTGTTTTAACAACCAAGCTGTAAATATCATCTGCAAGAACACAAACAAAAATGCTGAAAAGGAGCAGGCTAAGGGGGAAAAGTTTGTTTGGGAAAGCCGGTAAAATTCCTCATGTATGTCGGCCTTATGATGTTCATGGCACTTCTAAAACTGCTCAAAGTAAGAGACTACTGGAGGAAGGGATCACACCTGAGTGTTCTCTTTCCTGCTTCTATCATGACAAGAGACAGGTTCATGGCAATCAGCAGAGCTGTACATCTGAGCGACCCAGACCATGATGAATCTTGATACATTTCCTTTGCTCTTCATATATTTTTCTAATATTTTGGTTATAGTTTGAAGATCATTTGCTCTTTGTACTTTTGCACTTTCTATATATTCCTAATACTTTGTTTATAGTTTTAATATAATTTGCACTTTGTTAATTTGCACTTTGAATTTGTTTCACTGTTTGTGTTTGTATTTCAATGTTCAAATTATAATATATATCTCTGAAACAAGTTATTTTTGTTGCAATGTCATCTGTTATGGTTTAATTGTTTACTCTCTCAACCTTTTTTTGACAGAAGAAACATGATCAGTCATTTAAATATGGAAATACATTTCGTTTTAATTATTCCATATGATCCTAGGCGTTTTTCAGTGAAAAACGCCTAGGATAATATTGTAATAAATAGCTGTAACTTGCTCAGGGAACATAATATGCAGATGAAATTTAATTTGAAAGCCTAAAACATCTAAATGCAGCTTTGTAAATAATAAAAAAGAAAATCCCTATGTTCCTGGCGGAGTAAACAGTAAAAAAACACAACATTTGTACTGGCGTTTTTGAAAAGTGCTGGTAAATTCAGCCATTATCACACAAAGTTATGGTAAAATTTGGACTTCAAATTAGCCAGACTTGAACTAGAGGTTCTCCTGAATCAAATGAGGTAAGGCACTTGATGCTGACTGCAAGAAAAGGTTAGAACAGGTTAGGAGAAACAAATAAATACAGGAGAGTCAGGCAGGCGAAAATTCCGTCTAGGTCTTTAAGGGTTAAGTGGCCGTGACAGACCTCACCTACCTCACCTACCTCTATTCAATTTACCATTGATAAATAAATGCTGAATTGGCTTTAGTTTGGTTTGATGGAAAGGAAGTATTTCTCAGAAATGTCTTAAGGCCCTGACACACCAGGCCGATTTCGGCTGTTTTCGTAAGTCGGAAGACGAAGCGTGTCCTGTCGCCCAAACTCAATTTGGTGTGTCCCGCACCGTCGGCAGTGACACTTATTTGGACTGCCAGACCCGATGCATGGCCGATTCAACATGTTGAATCGGCCATGAATCGGGTCAGGCAGTCGGACCAAACAATCACTCTGATTGGCTGTTCAGCTAGCGAATCAGTGCATGAGAAGCGAAACGGAAGTGAGGGACGTAAACAAACGATTTAAGAAGGCACACACAGACTGATATTCATTTTCATCTCATCATGGCGATCTGGAATGACGCAAACAAAGACCTGCTCATCACCTTGATCCAGGAGAGGCCAGCTCTGTACGACATCACAGAGAAAAGGTACTCGAACCGAGTAGTGAAAACCGAACTCTGGCGAGAGATTGAAATGCAACTTGGTTTCTCGGGTAAGATTATCTTTTTCATCAATTGAGCTCTTTAGCAGATACTGTTGGCTTTTTATTTTTATTGTTTGCCAGCGTACAGTGACGTTAACATGAAATGTAATTTGTTATTTCAACCTTGTGCTAGCTGTGCAGTTTGGCACTGCATATAGATATGAATTGGACATGCTAACTAGCCACAATGCTTACATCGTTTATTTGTGTGCTTCAGAGAAAGAGCTGAGGAAGAAGTGGGATTATATGCGAACCCAGTACACCCGGAACAGGAGACTTGCCCCTTCGGGTAGTTGTGGACCACAAAGGACTGGCAGACAGCAGTGGATCCTGACCAGGTTGCAGTTTTTAGAGCCCTACACAAGAAGGAAGGAGAGTACTTCGAACCTCACCATCACGGTAACTATTTTATTTGTTGAGTACAAATAAGTGTTTCTTGCTTCTTTCATTTACAAAAACATTATTTTCATTCATTTGGTGGTTACAGTGTTAAATATAACAATAACAGAATAATATATATATTATTGTATTATAATTATTGATGTGCTCATCACCTTAATGTTGCAGCTGGTAAAGGAGGAGCTAATTGAAATTACATGATATACTGCTGGGTAGCTTATGAAATTCACCATGGGATCAATAACGCTTTTATCTTAACCTATAATAATACATGATAAAATATGTCTTATATTTTGTAGTGTTCTGAATCTTCTAGAAGTATGTCTTTAGCATCTGAATAGAGCCATCACAACGTGTCTACAATGTACCTCTCACACTTGACCACACCCCAAACTAATGGCACACACATTTCAGGGTATTGTTTTGTTATGAATGCTTAGTAAACAGTTTTAAGAAGCCATGGTATTAAATCCAACTAACTGTGAATTTATTTAAAAAATGTTAAGGAACAGTCCGGTGGCTGCAGAATCAACCCCCGGTGGCACCAGCAGTGAAACCTCGACCAGCACCACTGAGGAGTTCTTCCACTTTGATGCTGAGCCCTGCACTCCCCTGGCAGAATCCACCATCTGCACCACACCGGCACCGCTCGGAGAGAGGCCAAGCACACTCAGCACTCGAAGGCCTCCGGCGAAGCGCAGGATGATGCAGGATTCACAGGAGGAGTCCGCCGTTGAGGCGTCAAAAACATTGCTGGAGGACATCAAAATAAGACTGGAACAGTTGGCCCCGAGTGGACTTGATGATGAAATCGCGGCCCAATCCAAAGTGTTTGAGCACAGACTGCGGCTGTTGCCACCTCATCAGATGCGACGCTTCCTGAATGTGGTTCAAAATAGCTTCTTTGATTGCTTAGAGGAAAATGAAACCTCAAGTCATTTCACTTGTCTCTAGACATTTCACTTGCCCTGTATTTTTGTACATAAAGTTCACTAATTTTTAAAGATGTGGCTAATTAATTTTTTTCAGACAGTTGTGGCAATACATGTTGTATTGCATAGTATTTTTATTGTATTGTATTTTTATTGAATGTTTACTTTTTGTATTATTATTGTTT